AAAAAAAAAAAAAAAAAAAAAAAAAAAAAAAAAAAATAATAATAATAATAATAATGTAAGTCTCAACATAAACATGTTAACCTGAAATTTGGTCAGCTGAAGTTTTGAAGATTGAATTTTAGTTGTAAAATATTGATCTGACATCTTGGTAACTTGACTGTGATGAAAGAGCCATAAAGTAGGATCTACTACTCCCTGTTAAATATTAAATTCTTGTTTCATCTTAAAAAGTTAGAATTAACTCTAGCATTGGAAATCTGCACACCGTGAATTTCACCTGAATTTGATAATTCAGGCACTCGATTGGTTGAAATCATATTATTGGGAACCTCAAGAAAAGGCTATCCCAGTTAATCAAACTAATGATCTCAGAAAGGAAATTAAGTGTAGATTACTTGAATTTGCTCTCTCTCTTAAAGCGAAGCAAATCACCGGGTCAAGTTCTTTGCAAGTCAAGGGAAAACGTAAGTCTAAAATGTACACTTTATTTTGATGAATGATAATGCCTTTTGCTTTAATAGAAATTATTTCTTTATCTATTGAAATCTCAAGTGTATCTTGTACAAGTTTGTTTTTTATTTTTTATTTTTTTTAATTTGTTGCTATACACTTCGTGACATTTTGCAATGGAAACTCCTTTTTAATGAGTTGTTTTATTGTCAGCCTACTGTCTTGTGTGTTTTAACGTTTGACAACTAGTTTAATGTCTTTAATTCTTTGACCCAAATAAAAGCTTTATTTCATGTTATAAAATTTTACTCCATAATATTCAGTTTTGGATAATAAGGTGTTTCCTTATTTTTAATTATTTTAAGATTATTAATAATAATTCCTTTTACTTAATTAGTTAATTTAACTTAATGAAATTTAAAAAAATTAAAAAAAAAAAGGCACGCGCCTAGTCTTTCAACTCCTAGGCTGCATTGTTGATCAAAATAAGATTGACCAACTTTTTCATGCTTTTTCCATATGTGCTACCTTCTTCGCACTTCATGCCTAGGCCTGCCTTTTAGAACATCGAATTTTTATTTTTATAGTATCCTTTGTAATCACCTCTATCCCTATACTGAATTTCCCCATGATTATGTTTCTTGGTAATTCATTAATTTTGTTATGCACATCATTAAAAATAACATTAATCAAGCAAGATTTTAACGTCTGTGTCGGTGGTGGCTATAAATTTCAGGTTCTAAGAAGCAGGTTACCAAATCATTGAAAAATATTCTTCGGTTGTGTACTTCCTTTTCTTCAGAAGTGGTATATATTCTCTTGGAAATTTTGCTGAAGGCATTAGATTCCTCAGATTTCACAGAACACGTGGTGGGATCGAAAATCTGTCCTGAAAAGCAGCAGAATGTATATGATGACTGGAAATCTGTTGTCTTGAAATTGTCAAATAAAGGACCAGAATTGCTTCTAACCCTCCTTAACACTGTTCTTGAGAAGATAGTGACGCAGGAAGAAACCATGAGATGCGAAATAGGTATCCCAGTTAATTTGTGACATTTTTCAAGCATAATGTTCACTTTTCTATGATTAGTTTTTCTTTTTGTTTCTATTTTCTGCGAAATGGTGTTCGATATCCCATTATTATTTTTGATTGGTATATAATATTTATATAGTTGTGTTTTCATTTTTGATCTTTTTATGGATCATCAGGCGAGCATAAATAGCTGGATAATTTTGCCCCGTCTCGCCAAATCGAACTACTTGCTTATTTGTTTGAGTGGCTTGTTGGAAATCTTAAGACATTATATATCTCGTCTCTCGCAAGGAACCTACAGAATGTAAAGATTCTCTGGCAGAATCAAAGATGCAAAAGCAGATGCTACAAGGATTATTACGCAAATCTCTTATGTTGTCTTCTCCTGGCAACAAAAAGCTGATGGATTCGGCCCTTGTTCTTGTACAGATGGCAGGAGACAACTCTTTACTCTGTAAGCTCAAGAAGATGGCTTCCCTGTGGGTGTCAAATTCCAACATTAGCGAAGAAAAATCTGTTGATTCTCACATTGAGATCCTTTTTTCCGAACAAGATTCTATTCGTCAAGCTGAAGAGAAATTCAAGTTAATCAGACACAGACAAATGAAGGGCCCTGATGTAAAACCGACAGACTCCAGTGTGGAAGTTACTAGCCGATGGGTTGTTACGAAGTCATGGAAGCCATGTCCTATAGGCATGCTCCCTCACAATCTTGGCTTCTCGGGCCGTCTTCTGATTCTCGACTGCAATGACAAGCCCAGAGAAGCTCGAAAAGGATCAGATAGCAAGGCGCTTTGGGAACTAAATCAATGTGGTAAAAGGGAAACTGATTGTCCGATTGAAGAATTGGATAGCGCATTTATTAAGAAAGTGAAGGAGAATGAAGCAGATTGTGAATCATACGATAAAGATGATACTCCCTCTGAAGGCGTTATGGGTCGTCTGATGGTCGATGGAGTCTGGAAAAAAGTTGCAGAGGAAGAGCTGCTTGCTATTGCATCGACTGTAAGATTATTAGGGACAATTTGCTAGCCCTTTATTTTCTAGGAAAAATGGAAAACGAATTCTAACTTCCACTTTTGGCCTGTTTGATTGACAAAATTTTCTAAGGAATTTGTTTTCCACCTCTGGCCGCCACGTCAGCATTTTCAATCTTTTTCTTGAATTCGAATTCTCACCAAATAGGTGAGAATTCGTTTTTTGGGTTACTGTAGCGAATTTATTATTATTATTATTATTATTTATTTTATTTTTTTTTCAATGGAAACAAATTTTAAGAATTATTGCAAAAAATTCTATCCTTTTAATAAACAATTTTCATATAAAACAAAATCAAACGAACACGAAAAGATAAATAATTTTTTTATTTTTTTGACAAAGGAAACAAATTTTATCACCAATACTAGTAAATTCTATTCCTTTAATTGACAATTTTCATATAAAATAAAGTCAAACGAACACCCAAAAATATTTTTATTTCAACATTTTTCACGTTAAAAATTATATTTATCAAATAAAATAATTTACATTTTTTAGGAAAACAATTTCTAGGCAATTCAATAACCTAAAATTCATTTTTTTTCCATTCAAATTTCATCTTTACAATTAAATGAACCCTTAGTTTAGTTATAGCTGAAATGGTTCTCTTATACAGCTACCATCAATTTTGGCACAAAGAACATAAGATGAAATAGCAAGAAACTATACTCAGCAATCTCCAAAAGTGAACTATTGGCTAATCTCTTCGGATATCTTTTTATTTATTATTTATTTCGATCTGTGATTCAATATTGGTTACCTTCGTCTTCATTTGAACTTGTTGCGGAAGATTTCTTGAAAGATCTTTAAATCGGTGATTTTCGGGCTCAGTCCAATGTACCTTTCTCAACCAACAATCAGTTCAAACAGCTCAAAATCACAACCAATTGATTCACCTCGATTGCTATTCAATTTTACTTACGTAGGATAAGAAAAGATGATAATTTGTGGCCACAAAAGTTAAGAGAAGATACCATAAAGGTAGACTATGAAGGAACCACCAATTGCACACGTTAAACAAGCGTTTTGGACACTTCTAGATGCTATTTTTCACACACAAAGGGTGGCAACCGAGATTCTTCTATTTTTCTCTCAAAACCACACAAAACATCACTAGAAAGTGGTTAGGGTTATAACCATATATATACTCTAGGGTTAGGCTTTGAGTTGGACATTCAAAGAGGTAAACGGGCCAAGATTCAAGCCTTCCAAAAGGGAATACAATTGGATTGGGTGTAACTCATGGACTTGGTTGTTGGACTTATTTTATTCATTGGCTTATGTCTATGAAATAATATTAACCCACGTTAGCATCATAGCCCGAAATTTATTGGGTATCAAAAATCCAACAAATCTCCACCTTGATGCCCAATAAATTTGCAAGCAATTAAAACACACAGTTAGCACTTGCATAATCAATGTAGCCAACAAAATTGGATCACAAATCTTACCTCGTGTTTTCAACTTGAAACACATGTCATATCTGCTCCATATACTCACTGGGTCTAAGGTCAAAAACGTCCAAGTAAAAGCAAATATTTAATAGTAAACAATCAAGAGCAAATACACGTGTGATGACGATATACTATAGGATAACGCACATAGATCTTTTCAAAAACGTTAACATAGAACCATAGATTAACACAAAGTAAATCAAACCACGGTCAATCACATATGCAACACATGCATAAATGACCCTAAGAAAAGATCTCACCACACTTATTCTATCTCATTCCGTGTTGCTTACACCTCGAGAACACATATCTCCTCTTATCGCTCACTAATCTCACTAGACAGATCACTCAACTCATGTCTAACTGGAAAGTCACAATAGATCCTAAGTCCACGGGATAATCCTTTATCTCCACATTACTTCTCCCAACATATGTGGCTAATGAGTCTCCACCTAACAGAAGTGATAGAAGTGCCTCTCTCACATTCTACCTGATCAGGGTCTCTTTTCAGATAAAGGATTCTAGACATTTGATCACATCTCCACTCATGATTTAAATGTCACACTCCACATCCCCGGTACAAACCACCATGTACC